ATTATTATCATTATTATTATTATCATTATTATTATTATTATTAGTTCTATAATTACTCGTTGAATATGAATTAGCAAAAGTAGCGGTAGGGGCAATAGTAAGAAAAGGAGTAGTAGCAATAATGGTTGAAGAAGAACTGGGAAAACCATATTTGTGGAATGAGTGAGATCGGGATTTGTACACGATATGGGCCCTGGACGATGACGGTTTGCTTGGCATCTGATCGTCCTTCACCGGCTCTATGAGATACGTTCCATCCGGCAGTACCAGAGTGCCAAACTACAAATAATTTCAATTTTCATATTTTTGCAAATCAAAAAAAGCATGAGTAACGGTTTACAACAATGATTTATTGGTAAAATCGCCAGCTTTAAATACTATAGATTTAAAAATACACTGCATTTAATATGATTGAAAATTTTCAAATTAAATTCACCAATATAATTCTGGCAGGATTCTTAGTCTAATTAATCGCTTATTATCAAAATAATTATGATAGTTAGATGATCACAACATACATTATGGTGTGATATTATTATGATATGAGATAGGAAATTAATAATGTGATTACCAGTCCGCCGCTGATATCACATAAATTGACAATCGACGATTCAGTAGCACCTTTAACATGAGCGCTGTAGAGACAATCGGGTACAAATCTGGACATTCGTGCGTGCGTTGCATCCACCGAATCCATAAATTGTACAATCGGTCGAATCCGATTGTTCTCCAACGTCGGCAGTGATCTGAATTTTTTTTATCAACAATAAGTTAAGTGCAATAAAATTTGAAAAAAAAAAGAATTAAAGATTATAGGTAGTTTTGTTACATCAATTATTAGTTCCAGGACTTGAGGAGTATGAGATAAATGCATACTTGTTATTGGGTTGGGGTAACTGCTTCCAGCGCGTGAGATGTATGTGCAGCTCACTTTCGGGTATTCGATCACCGGTATCCTGACGTAATCGGAAGTAACACGTGAAGCCACAGTCTCGTGCCAATCCACGTACCCCATGCCATTTGGCATCGCTCCATGTGGAACGCCGTCGCCTTGTCTGATGTCGATTGATATGCCATACTTCTCCATCTCGCAACTTTGCACCTATCATACATTTCTATGTCTCTCATCATTTTAACATTTTCTTATTTGCAGCTTGCAAAAAAAATAATAAAAAATTCGGATTTGCAATCCATGGAAAAATTGATGAAATTACCTAAAACATCTTATCAGTAGCTATAATTCACCAATTTGTTACAATGTGCATACATTATCATTAATATTTAGATTATTTAAATTGAGATCTAAATAATAATATTCATATTTTCAATTCAATGTCAAACTTACGGCATCATCGATTATTTGTATGTTTCATCGTAAAATTTTTCGAATATTTCAGACTCAAAAAATTTCAAACCTTAGATATGCAAATTGTCTAATCGAAGCTTTAATTACAATTTATTTCACTCTTTTCTTTAATTCCATGTATGTACATTGACTGGAAGTGTCGCAAAGAAATATTTGAGTTAAACGAGATCACAAAATTAAATAATCAATTTAGTGCATATTCTATGAAAAAAAAGTTGAAAAATTGGGGATAATGTAAAATAAAAAAAGCAATCAGAAAAAATTGTTACGAAGGGTGAAATTAAAAAAAAAGAAAGTATTCTTCAAATTTCAGATCTTAGCAAACAATAAAAAGATAGGTAGAAGAAAGTAGTCGGAAGGTAAATAAAATTCTGTTCAAGCGCCTTCTTGTCTGTAGAAAAATCTTTCCTTTTCTTGCCTTTTTTCTTGAATTTTAATGATTTATATATCAAATATACTACTCATATTTTCCATACCATTTTTGACAAATATGTTTTTGAATAAGCTTGCTATTGAGCCAATAAATTGTTTTGAAACAGTTGAAAGATTTTGGAAAAAACGATAAAGATTTTTGATAACATAAAATAAGGAAAACAAACTGTAGCATGTTAATGTAATCATTTTAAACTTTATGAATTTAGATTACGAATTTCATCAGAATTTACACTGTTACACAAACAAAATATCACAGCTTACCATTTCTACAATTTGATTGCAATCATTTTTAGTGATGGATGTAAATGATAACGCGAAGAAAAGCAAAAAAATAAACAATTTATGAAAAGAAAAGAGCTAAAATGCATATATCTATAATTTTTTTCAACTGTTAAAAAAGGGTGTAATGGAAAAAGGGTTACTCGGAAAAAAAAAGAAAAAAAATGTTATTGTTAAGAGAAGAAATCAATGGAATTGAAGATTGATTAACAAACATAAAAAGTGTCGATTGAAAATGATAAAAAGGATTACCGCTAACGATAATATTATAAAAATCCATATAAGAAATAGCAATGTAGAATGGAAATAAGAATATTCAACAGCTGCAGTAATACGTATCAATTTCTTTACACATTTTCCTACCAATCACTTGTAGAAAAAAATTGAATAAATGAAATTAATTTCACTATGCTAAAATCAATTGCACTAACTCATAAGAACGCTATGGTAATTATTCGTATTTTTCAATTAGATTATATTAGGAATAATAAAAGCATTCGGATATGATTTCTTTTCGCATAACTGTATTCTGAATAACAACTTTTTTTTAATTTCCAAATCTAAAGCAAAAAAAGAGGATAATAGAGAAATGCTAACTAATTAACTCAAATTCTAAAGTTTTGATGAAAGTTAAACTTACTTTTATTTTTTTTATCATATAAAGCTATTGTATTTCCCTTTTATCCAACATTTTATAAAACATCAAAAATTTAATCCATTAATCAAAGAATGCTTACAATAACTAAATTTCAATTAATCATTAAGTAAATGTTATCACTTACTAAAGCAAGCAAATGAAATTAAATAATTAAAATAGCCGATGATATTTTAACTCTTTTTCAAAAGATCAATCAGTATTGAAGCATCAACCATTTCGATTTCATTGAATTTATTCTACTAAATATATAACTGATTATAACAGCAAAAGTGTATGAAGAGGTTACTGAAACCAAAGATTAATAATTTATATATCTTACAAATATATCAAACAAAAAAAAAATAAAAATAGAAAATATAAAATAGGAAATAAAATAGGAAATATTTGTGAAATTTTAATTTTTTCCAAATCAATTTTCATTAAAGAATAGAGAAGAAAAAAAGAAGAAAGAAAAAAGAGAAGTTTTATAATTAAAGATGAGATGAGGCTTGTATTATAGTAATATGAAAATTGGAAACTAATTTAAGATAATAAATTTAGAGAAATTACCTGTAATAGCGGCAGCAATTAGACGACTGCGTAACTGAGGTACCCTTGTAGAGGGTAATCCTTGCAGATACAATGAACTGAACAAAACCGCTAGCGCAAAAACAATAGCAACAAAATATTCAGGTTTCTGAAGATTTGTACTGCTATTGTTGTCGTTGTTGTCGTAGCTGCTATTGTTGTTGTTGTTGTTATTGTTGATATCAGGGTGAAGTATCAACGGCTCACTAGCCGGGGTTTCAACTTCAAGCATAACGCCCCTAGCCGGGGCCTAAGGCAAACTCGTCCTCGTCCCTTCAGGGCCTTGGCTTTTTTGAGAACAGCTTCAAGCAAATAATCCTAGGACCGCTACACCGTTCGATTCCGCATCTCAACGGATTCTATACCACTACCGTCGATCACCGGTACGCTTTTACGTTCCTAAAAAAATATGCATATTTTATTTCTTGTAAAAAATAATTTTTTTCACATATGTTAACAACGATCAAATTTATTGTTTATTTAATAATTCTTCAACTGTACAAGCCTATTCTTTCATATCCATACATAATATATTTTCGATGGACGAAAGCAATATTTTATTGCATACAGCAGAAAATATTATTTAAGCGCAAATTACTGAACAAATCTGAAATGATTTAGACCGATGAAAATTTAAAGCATAATGAATGAACTATTGATGAACCTTTGTCCATCCTTTATCATATCCGCTAAATTTGTTTATATAAACAAGCACGCCTATGCATATATTTTTACTATTTCAATCCTATTCAATTCTTACATCCTTCGTCACTTCCCTTTATTTCATTCTATCTCAACTTTCAATCCTCAGTACTAATTATTGTTTCAAGACGAATAGTATCGAACTGATACATACCATTAGATCAGTAATAAACTAATCCAGCTTTGAATAAATATTATCCAAGTAATTCAACATGCATTCAATTCAAAGTAAAATTTAAACGCTAAAACAATAACATCTTTAAATATATTTGCAGCAAATAGTAATCTCCGCGAACATTTCTTCCATCCTCATCAGCTCATCAACAAAATTCGAATGAAACTAACGTTATATTAATGTCATTTTTATTCTTTGATCTCACGTCTATCTCTAATTCAATCAACTCAGATTTCATTTTTTTTAGAAAAGTTCATTTTTCGGAAAAAAAACTGCATTGGCAATAGCAGCACCTTTCCACTATATATCTCACCAGAAATTAATATGATAAGGTAAATCACAATAATCGATACCAATTTACTTGCAATCAAAAAAGTCTCTATCACACATCCAAAAAAAAACATTCATCTAGACTAAATTTACTTTTCAAATATAAGTTATGAGATTTTTGAAATCATAATCATTTTGAATATTTAAAGCACTTCATTATAGCCATTGTAATCCTAAATTGCTCATGTAATCTTATATTATTACATTCTTTTTTTTATTCAATGCATATAAATTAAAATATAATTGAAAGAGCGAGATAACAAATCAACAATTAGCATTCTCAAACGTTGAACAGAATGGATGAAATAATTTCTTGTGTACAATCACAAGGATTTCAAACAGATATTACACAAAAAGGTAGACAGAGAGCAGCTAAATTTCATCAATAATTCTATCTTTCTAAGAAGAAGAATGTAAAAATATAATATAGAAAAAAAATCAAAATAAAAAGTTTATTTTATGTATTTACACTGAATGAAAACAATAATATAGTTAAATTTTTGGAATATTTATCTCATTCCCGAACAAAGTTTCATGCCTTTAACTTAACTAATTAGTGAGTTACATTTATTTATGGAAGAATGAAATGAGGAAGTATAGTTGCTGAATTCTTTTTAATTTACGAGGAAAATTTGTGAAGTGAGTTAAATGAAGAAGGAAAAGTACCTTAAAGAAGTATAACACAAATAGAGAACCACTTAAACACAGTAAAACAAACAGATAAACATTGGGGATGATTTTGGAAAAAGTAAATGAAATGAAAATGTTATAGCAAAGGTATATATATATAAATATTTGAAATAACTTCGACTCTTTAGTACTACTAAAATATAACAGCAATAAGTTATTAAAAGTTAAATCTAATCCTGCAAATGATTTACTGTATTCAATTTCAACTTATCCTTTAAAATATCACAATCAGAATCATTATTTTTCCATCGAAGTACATACAATTAATCCGCTAAAATTTAACAACATTATAGGTTCAGCGAATGTCATAAGATAAATTACATTGATTGTTGGTATTCTAAATATGAAATTGTCATCTCAGATCAGGCATTTTATACTTTCTACCTTTGATCTATTGTCATATCTTTCAATCTCAAATAGATTTTTTAATGTAACTATTTATCACTTTTTTGGAAGTATTAATTTTTTTATTAGCTAAATGGAAAAATATTGATGCTATAATGAATTGTATTTAAACAGTCAGTTAACTTCTTGTTTTGTGAATTTTTCAATTTAAACAGTTTTCATTTTGCTATAGGTAATTTAGGGATTATTGGAATGAATACAGCCCTCATCAAGTGTCATTTTTTCAGTTAAATAAATTTTACTATTAAAAGTTACGTTTGGGTAAAAAAAATCACAGGTACGTTTAATGCAAAAAACTCATATGAAATATTTGTTAAAACAAAAAACTGAGTGTAGAACTTTGAAATATCCCAATAAAATAATGCAGAATGCATCAAAAAGGTTTTTCTTCGCTTCCTGAAAAATGCAATATTCCATAAATTTAAAATATTTGAAACTAATCAGTTATTTATATGTTAAAATTGTCTAACATCTCAGTTAATGCCCGTAATATTTGCAAGTTTTTCAGAATTAGATAAGATAAGCTAATTTCATAGTTGGAAGATGTTGTTAATAAGATATGATAGGAATAGTTTTTAAGACATTCATATTTAAAGTGTATTAACAGGAATGGTATAGTGATTCTATTGGGACTCATCCATCAAGAAAATTCGTTTTTCATGAATATATTTCTGTCCATCTTATCGAGTCAACCTTTATAAACTCAATGCCTTACAGTTAAATTTATATGACAATAGGAAATAAGCAAAAAAATATTATCAGTTATTATATCTTTTTTCATTCCTCTCTCTCTCTCTCTCTCTATCTCCATCTCTCTCTCTTTCTCTCTCTTTCTCTCTCTCTTTCTC